TAATAGATTTGTGTGTCTGGAAACGTTCTATCCTTTTTTAATCTTTCTATAATTAATGTTAATTTTTGACAAGTTTTTTTTAATAAATGATGTCTAGAGATTGATCTCACCAAAAGTATCATCGATTGTCATACCCCAGCTGTCTTTGACGCCGTTTTTTTTTCGATCATACTGTACATATACCAAGATGAGAAAAGATAATCGTTTGATGTTTTGGAGATGAAATAATAAGTCAATAATAAAAATCATTAGATTACTTTGTTTGTTTTTTTTAATTTTGATACGTATAAAAAGAAAGAATACACAAAAAAGGTGGTTCCGATTAATAATTAGTATAATAAATTAACGTGTCAACTCTGTATAGTTGTCTGTGGTTTAAAACCTAGCTTTTGCTTCATATCTGTGAAAATCCTAAGTAGAATTTGTTCCCACACACAATTCAGATATATTCACTAAATAAAACGATAATTATATACAAAATTATTATTGTTGGAATTAAATTCAGGTAATATAAACATAAAAAATTAATACAGTATCTGACACCATAACATGAACGGTATTGGGAGTATCTTTCATATACAGGGTTGTCCGAATTGTATTCGGGAAACTTCGGCGGCATATTCTGCAGATAAAAATAAGTAAATGATGTGATGTATTGATGATTTTGATTCCAAATACCAGACGTAAACTTATTCTCTTCAAATCAGTTTAAAAATATGTAGGCATCAAAATATATTGAAATCGAAATTAAATTTTCCATGTCAAAAAACTCCTACTAAAAGACACCAATTTTCATCCAAATATTGACGTCAGTTCAGAAATTATTTAAAAAAAAAATCTAAATAAAAATGAAACTTCTACACCTTGTATCTATGTAGGAAAGAAAGCATCTTAGGACATCTATTTATACAAACTTTTTACTGATTTTTAAATTATGCAGAATATGCTGCCGAATTTTATCGATACAATTCGGACCACCCTGTAGATCAGATATCAGTATTTTAAATTTCAATATAGAGTACCATGGCTGTGTTAAAAACACAAATTTTTAATCAAAGAGCCTTGGAAAAATACATTTTATTGTCTGATGTGTTTTATATCTTGTCCTGATGGCCGGTTAAAAGATGTCCAAATCGTATTTTTAATCATATCTCGATTTTTACAAATAGAACGAGGGTAGTTTATTAGTATATTTGGAAAAAGCATTTTTACGAATGATTTGGTACCGTACACTTGGCATTTCGAGTCAATTTTTTGTTGTGAACCGCTTAATACAATTTCAAATAAACCATATGCAAAAATATCAAAAGGTGACATATGATATGTCATTCTATTCAGAGTGTCATTTTCTATCGAATAAAGTAAAAAAATACCGAGAGTGCTATTTAAAAATCAAAAGTTGTAGTAATTTGGCGGTAAAACAGAAAATAACCGAAAACAATTATTGAATACGTCAATCAATCTTAATTTATGTCATATACTGACACACTAAATTTGTATTTTAATCTGAAAAAATAAAAATGTTATAAAAATGAGTCACTTTTGAGAAACACCCGGTAGACATTTTTTGAGGGTCAAAGTATACCACCCCTAAAAATGCTTGCACTTATTAAAGACTCACTCTGTATATCTAATCATTCTATTTTTGTTAAAATAATAATTTTGTATATAATATCATGTTAAATTTGAAAAATATCCTAACAAATATTATGATAAAATATCAACAAAGCTTACAACACGACACTTAAAACACACATAAGCTATGCAGTTAGCTTCTAGCTGTAAAAAGTCAGTGTACGCCTTGAAGATGACGATGATGTGGCAGAGTGTGTACGAAACCTTGCGTGTGTCTAGGCCACAACATGTCGCACGCGGACGGGAACAGCACGGAGGGGGGAATCGACAACAGGAGGCGGTAACAGCAAGAATCCATCTCAAACAGGAACGGGGTGCTATAGGAATTTCGATCACTTTCCAAATCGACACCGAAGAAGTAACTCTTCCACCACTCCATGTCTTCCAACGAACGAGGTACGATACTAGATAACACAGGTCTACAACGATTTTGGTACCGCTAAAACTAAAACTGATTTAAAGTATAGTAATCGCAAAACAATTTCCGATGCACGTGTCAACTTCGAGTGACAAGCCATGGCGACAGCGCTGCCAGATTGTGATGGATTTATGAGATGAACCTTAAATTAAAAATGACAAACAATATATTTTATTATATCATTTTTTAAGGAGTGGAATTTTTTTTAAGTGGTGCCCGGTGGCGTAGAGGTACAGGCTCTCGTCTACCAATATCAAGGTGTGGGTTCGAATCCTACACCCGGCATTTCATCAGCCAACTATGTTTTTATAAAAATAGTTTGGGTACCTACGTCGACTCAAAATACCTACGTCGCCTTAAATGAGTACTTGGGATTCACAATCCTGAGGTAATAATAGGCGGTCGAAGCGTAGTGCTAGCCACATTACCTTCCTTGTATACCGAACGGCTCTAGTATAGCAAGCTGTACCTTGCTACTCAAGGCGTTAAACGCTATATATACGGGAGCTATTAATTATATTATTTTTTAAAGAGTTTTACGTTTTATTTTTAATTTAATAACTAATATTTTAGTAATAAATTGATTTATTTGTTTTATAGCTTATTTTACATATTCGCAAAACCTAGTCCATTATGAACATTATTCTAAGCGTTATTATGGGTTATTTATTGATTTACATCTTACAACGCCATAAGTGGTAATAACAAGTAAGAGGGTGCTATTAATGCAAAAACTAATAATCACATAATTAAAAAAAAATAACTTTGAAAGTGGTATAATGTGCTTATCAATCAAACTTACTTCTCTGACTGCAGTCAAGGGTAATAAAGGCCTTTATTGTCACGTT